TAAAACAAACAATTTTAGAACAACCTTACGTATAAAACTGTAACGTAAAGTTCATTTGTAAAGGTCACAAAGCAGTTGAATGGGTTGAATGATTTTAAAAGAGATGAAACATACTGTTAGAAGTGAGATTTGTAATGTGACGCTGTGGCAAAGAATTTAAAGTCTCTGAATGTATGAATCAGTCAGTTGAAGAGGTATAGGATGTTACAAATTTTGTTTCTTTTTTATTTAATTATTTTTTTTGTTATGGATTTTTTTTTATTTATATTTTTTATGATTATTGGCAAGTAGTGTTAGACGTGTGTTCATTTATTGTCGCGGTTGTAACGACACGTTGTATAACGGAATGCATGTTGCTACCGCAATATACGCGAGCAATGAGCCCCTTCTAATGATTTGGTATAGTACTTGAAGTATTTAATACTACAAATCTACTAAGCTTTTTCTTTTTCAAAATTATGAGGAAACGTTTTTTTTTTTACAGATAAAGTAGAACAAATTCAATATCACTTCTTTTCACAACACTAAACAATAATGTGAAAAATGTTTTTCTTGTTAAGTTCACAATAGCGAAAATAATTTTCCATTGGATGGCTTTGCATTCCCGTCCACTTATTTCAATTTGATTATGAATGAAATACGGGACACAAAGACTCTATAGCAAGGGAAATTTCAATTAAATCTAGCCGAGTCGGCTACTTGTTTAGTCTTTGGACAATACCCAGAGCTTTATTACAGCACCTGTAGGTATTACCGTGTGCCAGCTATTTCCTATTCCGGCTACTCTAACGGGCTTTGGGTGGAACACTGGGATATTTATTTCACTTCGGCGAGATTTATTTATTTTCGCGCGAGTCATTCGCACCTGGCGGGGTTGTTCCTACGGGTGATATCGGTAAGAATTAACCTCTCACCATCCACCCCCGTGTAATAACTAAAGTTCGAGACTTGCGACAAGTTTATTTGTTTCACCAAAGACCGTCATCGATTGTCTTGTTTGGAATATTTGTTGTTAATGCACAAATCATTTTTTAGCTAAATTAATTAATACCTATTTCTACAAAATGGGAAATGTTAGGCAAATACTTTAGGATTTTACTATTTTATATAGAGTGGGCTTTTTAAACATAGATAGACGAATACCTTAAAATACTTTACTTTTCCCACAGTATCTTTTTAGCCGTTCGAATCATTTTTAACCATCGCGATGTATCGTCTTATCTCTAGCGTGCACAGTGACTATTCACTGGCGGCTCTCATAAAAACCAGGAAATGGTACCCAATTTCTTTTTTTTTTTTAGAACATCGGCATGTCACATTTTTTGCATATCGTAACGCATCCAGTTATGTCTTAACAGACTCGTCAAGGTGAACTAGTTCTCTACATTTCGAGAGTTGGTATTCAACAGTTTCTTTTTGCTTTCGGAGTTTTATACGAGCAAATCACTGTTCATCATGTGCCGTGGTTACAGTTAAATTAATCGCCCTTAATAATCTGTGGAATGTAGAGCTAGTAGATTTATAACTCGATTGCCAACAATTTTAAGTGGGCTGAAATCCTTCGTTGAATAAAATGAAAGCGAAATGCTTACCGGTGACGCACACGTCGTCCTTACGATTGAAAATGTAAATATAATCCCAAAAAGCTGCAACCTCAGTAAGGCTATAAATATGAATACGTACTTAAAAAACTTAAAAAATGTTCCTCTAATCGATTGAGCGATAACCAAGATAGATCGCATAGGGATATGCGAGCATACGCGAGGATTTAAGGCGGACGTATTAAATGATTACCCCCACGTGTAATTCCTCATCGGCTAAACGCCACCCCGACCCTGACCGTAACTCGTTATCGCGCTGCTATTTTTCACGGGCGGAGCCGTTATTTTTCACCTACGCGGGGCTTGACCCCGGCTATCGTTGTATATCGCTGGTAGAGGACACAAATCGCTCTGTTACCGCAATTTTTCTGCCGTTCAATTGAAATTTGCGGCTTTTTTCTGTGAGTAAGTGGCAAACGAGCTGGCTCTTCACCATGTTTAGTGATAAACGCCGCTCATGGACAAACAACACCCGTACGGTTGCAGATACGTTGCCACCTTTTAATAAAGTGGGCCCCGGCTACCTCGCTCCCTATACGAAACGCAGAAGTGTAACAATTCTACTTCACGTCGGTCTTCTGTGAGGTGAACTTAGGTCCGTGGAACTTACCCAGACGGACTTGCCCGTTCATGCAACAGCGAACACTGTTGCGTGCCCTAACACAGTTTAACGGTGGTAGGGCCACGCAGCAGCCTCGGCTGTTGCACGAATGGGTAGGCTCGTCCGGGTAAGTACCGCGACCTCACAGAAGGCCGGCGTAAAGTGGAAGTATAATACTTTCGCGTTTCGTCTAGTGAGTGAGGTAGCCGGAGCTCAATTTTCAAAAGGTTGTCAACGCATCTGCAACCCTCAGGTGTAGCGGATGTCCATGGGCGGCGGTATTCATTTAACATCACGTGTACCGTCTGCTCGCTTGTCAACTTTTTACATAAAAAAAAAGACTTGTTAATTCATGTAGATTTCTAGGCTTCTTTATTTGAAATGGATTAAAAAGGCAGTTCACTAGAATGTTAGCGCATTGACATCGAGTGAACCGCATTCTCATTTGAGCTATAAAAAAATAACCGATTTCTTTGCATGCAAAACACGAGGCCGTTCGAAGAAAAGTAAAACTTGGTAATATTGTAATTAAATACGTCTTTACATCGTAAGGTAATATCGCGTGTGGAATATAAAATTCACGAGTTATAATATCATTTCTACCCCATGCTGTGCACGGCGTCAATAGTACTATATGAAACAGATAGTGTGTACATGTATGTATCTAATGTGTTTATTTCACATCTTTAGCCTGTTATCTGTCCTATTCTGCCAGAAATAAAGGTCCTAAAATTGTATTGTATTGTTTGTGTTTATCTGACGAGTTTATTTTTAGAAATTAAGTCCATTGTGTGCTGCGTGACGTAGAAGCCTATTCAAAATGGCAAACGAAATGATTCGTCTGTGTTCACCTCATTGCAGGAGTGCAATATACTTGCTAGATTTAAAAAATTACATTACTTTAATACGTAACAAGAACAAAATGAACATAAAACAGACATCAGTGACAAATGGAATTTATAATACGTACATGTCTAATCAAACTATTATTTTAAATGTTATTAAAACAATGGTGTTTTATCCGTTCACCTATTTTTAAAATTTAATCAGAATCCGAACGGAGCCGCGTGGCAAAGGCAGTGCAAGGTAAACAAATATCGACTCCGTCGCCTCACAATCACTGTATCAAGTTACACAATAACTTATTGGCCGTAACCCGGTAATGATGACCAAAATTTAATATTCATATTATTTCACACCGTTCTACACAGCTTGAAGGCGTTGCGTTCAGTTCCGTTGCGTAGCATCCTTAACTCGTACGCAGTGGGTCGTTTATGGGATGACATCCATTCGTTTGCCAGCAGAGGTATCTTTGTAATGTAACGTGGTGTCGTATTTTGTGTGGCGTTTTATAGCCCAATGTGGGTTTACGCAAAAAGAGGATAATATATTTTATTCCTTGGTCCGAGTGACGGAAGTGTACTGTGCGTTGATTCAGTATCCCTATTTCACGGCTAACGCTAGTTAAAAAGTAAAAATGAAATTTGTTTTAATTTAGATTTTTTAATTTCCGACGTTTCGAACCCTTTACAGGGTTCATGGTCACGGGACAGTGAACTGAAATTAAATTATATTCCCAGACAATTCATTATCGCCGTATGAAATGACAGTATAGAAAATACTTAAAAAAAACACGCATACAACCTTTGTATATATCAATTTTACGGTTAAAGTATAACAGAACTTGGAATTATTACAATAATTTATTTTTATTTAAAAAAACAAAATCACAAGTTTAATTAAAGGAACTTGTAGAGGCGTTCTTAGAAAACTTAAAATAAACTTATGGGATTACAGAAGAGAGAAGTTTATTTAATATCAGAATGAATCACTTCACAGTCCATGCATACCATATTATGTACTTTGCTTACTATTCGTATCGCGCTATAGGCCACACACAAAATGCATGGTCAGCAAGGGGCTCTATGCACCTTTATCACTATGTGTGGTCGAAATTACGATTTCACTAACAATCTGTTGGTATTAAAGTCGATAAATGAATTGAAGGTGGTACCACTCTTTATGTCCCATCAAAAAAACAATTAAATAAAAATCTGCGAACGTTTCTCTTGTGACTTGCACCACGCGCTAACAAAGTCGGTCTCGTGAGAGTCATTGGACGTAAACTTGAAAATAAAAAGTCGCAGAAACACCAACCTGCCAATATTACCGCACTTTATAAGGAGGGTTGGCGCCGCGACGTACTTTACAAGTCGTTTAGGTTGAACGGAAAGCTGCTTTTGGCGAACGCATTGGGAACTGCGAAATTATGAAAATGCTATGGATCTCACTTTGGTGGTTCTGTCGCGTGACATACTCGTAGCAGTAGCAAGTCGTGATTGGCGAAAAAAGTTCCGGCACTATACCGGTTTGAGTTTACGATTTAATAGTGTATTGAAAATCTTACTTGGCCCTGTGGAGTGAAGTTTGCAGATGTCGTGGGAAAGGCTATTTTTTTTAAATAGTTTGCGGCAGTGTTCACTTCGCTGCTCGTTATTAGCTTTGACACGACACTGATGCGCTATAAAAGAACGACAATACAATGGGCCACTCGAAGTTGAGAGAAAAAGATGTCCAACAAATATAATATGACAATAAAATTCGTTAACAAACACGGGTAGGTATTATTCAAAAGGAATCATAACACACAACAGCCTTTGGGACACTCAGAGGCAATCGAACATAGTCGTATTTAGATGCGCTGGGTTTTATTACGTTTTTCCCCGCTCATATTGAATGGCTACAAAATATATTTGCATCCGCGCTCAATCGACTGCTGATAAAGAGCGAATTGATTAAAACTGTAGTGGGCCCTCGTGAATTTTCGGTAAATTGGGGACGACGGGAGCGGGCGGTGCGGCTGCAGCGTTGCGCGTGTCCGTTACGCGACGATACGTCATGGTTTGACCGGTTTTAATGAGTTCGACGGCGACGACCGCTCGGCCCAGCGGTGGGAGTTGATTGGTCTGCATTCGATTATGTCGATAGGTATACGTAAGAACGTAAGAAGTATCTATAAGCGTAATTTACTATTTTATTGTACTCATGGATACCACCATCTACTCACAAAAATACCATAAAGGTTCCTTTAAGTGAGGGTGCATCCGGCTAACTCACATGCCAAATTAACGCAAAATTATGAATTCTTATAATTTACGTTCGTTTCCTAAGAGACGTAGTCGTATTCCGATGGAGTAGAATATTTATAGGACTACGGCTTCAGTTACATTGTATTCAATGAAAAATATTTTGTTTGTCCCATTTCTGCAGCTGTAGTAATAATACATTTCCATCATAGTTGACAGAATCTTAATGAACATGCTAATTAAATGTATCGGTATAACAAAAACAATTTAGATTAATTTCACATTGAGTACGCCCATATATGATGATGGTCTGCACAGAGGACAATATAGAGCAGTTAAATTTTCGACTAAGTAACTCGAAACATGTAGGCATTGAGAAGAATATTAGTTGATTACCAAGAAATTAGAGCAGTGTAAGTAAAATCGTTAGAAAATCTAAAACTTAAATCAAAACTTATCAAACTTAACAAACAAACAAAACAAAACACGATACAAAACTTATCAAACTTATGAAACGTTTGAAATTATTGGCATGCGCAAAAAATTAACTCTCTTCAACTTGCTTTGTTACTATATTTAAGGCAGTGATAGGGCCACGCAGCAGCCTCGGCTGTTGCACGAATGGGCAGGCTCGTCCGGGTAAGTACCACGACCTCACAGAAGACGGACGTAAAGTGGAAGTATAATACTTTCGCGTTTCGTTTGATGAGTGAGGTGGCTGGAGCCCAATTTTCAAAAGGTTGTCAACGCATCTGCAACCCTCGGGTGTAGCAGATGGGCGGCGGTATTCACTCAACATCAGGTGAACCGTCTGCTCGCTTGGTAACTTTTCACATAAAAAAGCCAAAATATGCTTCAAGCAATCAGTGTGTTAAGAACTATTGACTTAAACGCGACCCGAACAATGAAAATGGACAAAATCAAGGACAAAGTCACTTAAGGCGGTACCCGCCTTGATCAATTGCTAATTTTCCCCGACGGGCATCGTTAAGGCGGGTCCGAGACGGGAAAAATAGAAGCATGCCTTCTGGAACACTCGATTGGCCTCCATTAAGGCAGCGCCGCCGTCTCTGTTTATATTATAGGGGCTACCCTTAATTTATTGCCACGTCGAGTGCCCTCTGACCTCCTCCGTATAGCTGTTGACCCGTTCTATTGAAAGGAGACTGAAGTATTGCCATCCCGCGAGGTCATACGGCCGTCTTGTGTTTCTTTATACGCCAAATTGTTTATTTGTACTCTTTACACTATTCAATTGAGATATCCTTCTTTATTTGAACACGAGATAAAGCTAAAAATATTGGGTTTTATGGCGTTGAAATTTCAAATTCCTCACGTTTCGCACGGTTCCAAGAACGCAGATAAGGCGGTTTTGAGGGACGGCGGATGTAACTGCGATTGCATCGGCTCAGGTAACATCCGCAGTTAAGATTGCGGTGAGATTATTATAAGAATTACGTTATATATTATAAGTAGATATATTATATCTATCACATAGAAGCGAATCAGTGGTAGATCAGGACTTTCTGAACTTAGAAAAACAAGTTAATAAAAGATTGTTAACGTTAACTTTGAATGAAATAATATTAGAATAATCTGCCCTTTATACCGAGGAACGTTTGTCTCATCAGGCAGCGGGACGTTTTTGAGGCTGTGATTTAACTGGCACCGGCACACAAATAATTAAGGGACGCGACGTAATGCGTGACAGGGCAGGCGTATTTTCGAGCACCACTTGAGGCCAGTTTTTAGGTCAGAGATGTTAGTTGCGCGGCGGCGACACGGGGGCGGCGCGACGCAGGTAGAACCACTTACAATGTGAAGGAATCACTTGAAGTTGAAGCTAGTCGTGGGCTCGAGCGTTTATAGTCGATATCGAGGGTAAGACGATACAATTCTGACCGAAAATTGCGTTAAACTTATTATTCCTTCAGTAACGATATAAATCTTTATGATTAAAATGGTATAAGCACTAATGAATAAATACCTTAACGAAAATCCTGTTAATAAACATGATACATAAACTCTTGGTCAACAGTATTAATAATAGGATATTGTAAATGTTTTGCAACTTGCGCCAAATTAAGTCATAAAAAAGCTACTATTATTTCAAGTTTATTTGTTAAAACTTAATGTTCACTACAAGTATTAAAATAAATGCTTTATCTCAATAAACATCAGCTTATTATGTGTATTTATTTAATAAGGCGTCTTATTTGTTAATAGGCATCGATATCTGTCTCATCTGCTCATAGTCACCTCACTAAAAGTTTATCGTCTTTTCTTTATCAAGAGCCCACTTTTTGTTATAACGGAGCAAATGTCTTATTTGTATATAAAGTGTCGTGTCCCAAATGCGAAAGACACAAAAAAAAATACTCGAAAAGGGACGCGTCGGGTACAAATTATGTTAGCATTTCCGAACAGACCCTCACTAATTTCATCGATAAACACGTTAAACATTTTAAAGGCAGTCGGTTATCTCGTGAAATACTTTTACTTGTATTATAATTAAACTTCAAATTCTTTCTTGTAACACATGTCATTCGTTTTGAAACATTTAAAAAGTAGAAAATAAAAGCACCAGAATAATACATTAATTATTAATAATAACGAAATCATTCAACCCTGGAGAGTATAGTAAAATTTTGAATAGTTCTGAACAAAATTATACGGTTGTTATAGGCACTAATTGTATTATTAACAATTTGATAGTTCTGCAACTGTGATTGGGCCACGCCACAGTCTTCGCTGTTGCACGAGTAGGCAGGCTCGTCCGGGTAAGTACCACGACCTCACAGAAGACCGGCGTAAAATGGAAGTATAATACTTTCGCGTTTCGTTTGGTGAGTGAGGTAGCCGGAGCCCAATGTTCAAAAGATTGGCAACACATCTGCCAACCCTCGGGTGTAGCAGATGTCCATGGGCGGTGGTATTCACTTAACATCAGGTGAACCACCTGCTCGCTTGGCAACTTTTCACAAAAAAAAAACATCAGGTGAACGAGCAGCAGCATCCGGAGCAATAAAACACGTAAATGTTCGTAGAGTTCTAAATCGTCAGTAAACGAGAGTTATTGAAAACCTTTACTTTTATTGTCGGTAGGTACATCCAACATAAAAACTATTTGAAATTTATGCCCTTCGATCTTAATTTTTCCCTATTTATAAGGTCTCTGACTAAAACAGGTGTTAAAAATATCCTTTATACCTGTCAAGTTTTTCCTTAATAAGCCCTTTGAAACTAATTTCCTATTTCTACTGTGTAGTTTCGTTTTCGTTTATTTAACTTGGATTGCAGAATTTAGTACCCACGCAGATATTTTAACATTCGTAAGTAAGTGTAGTTTCCATTGGCTTTCTTGCATTCACCGTTTTTTAAATGCCAAGTTAAAATTGTAGTTCTACAGCAATAGACCATGAAATGTTAGACGGCCAGTGGGTGTTCTTGTTTACGTCGGTGTAATATTACAGCTGGTGTGGCCGTGACGTTTCCAGGGAACGCTGGGTGGGGCACGTGGCTCCAGTAATGCACTGCGCGGGCGCACTGGCCCCACCCATAGTCCATTACCGGGAATTTCTCAGCTAATATATTTTGATTTCGTCCATCTTAATTCTGCATTACGAGAAACAAAAGCTAGCAGTGAGAAGCTTTTAACAGTTAAACTCTAATTGGAATGAGATTTAGGAAATTACTGTGGCTTTATTATCATAAATATTCAAAAAATATTAACGATATATAAAAAAAAAGTGTTACTTATATATGTTTATATTATGTTTAGTGTAATAGTACACATGTTTACTAACAGAAAAGCTGTATTTTAACCCGTATACTCACGGGAACGGGAACTACGCAGGTGAAATAAATAATAATAATGTCATGCAAATTAGACTATCACAATTTTCGCAGACGAAATCGCGGGCGAAGTGCTAGTTTTGTATAAACATAGTAAACATTAACAAGTTGTATACTAAAACATTAAAACTTGTAGAAAAAGTACGAAAAGATTGTCGCCGCTGTGGGTATCGAACCCACGTCTTCGGCATTCGCGGCCTGACGCTTTAGCCACTAAGCTAAACGGCTGATTGCCACACCGACGAAAATCTTAACGTCTAAAGTTGTATACTATTATCTTGTCTTGTAGAGGCATTTTACTTAAAAAAATATTGTAGGCAAAATGTTTATAGGTAACATTTATACCGTATTTATATTTGTGCGTTTTAAAAATACTTGTCTCGCAAGAATTGAACAGTTCATTCCTTATAATTACGCACTTAAGTGAGATGTAGGCGTAGACAAACCAGCCGTATAAGGAGTATCTTTTAGCAACTAATGCAAAAAAGTTTTTTAAGATGTCTTAGCTAATAGATCTTTCATCAACGTACTGTGAAATTTCACGATAGTATGTTCAATTTGGTCAGTAAAGTAAACCCAATTATTGGAAATATTCTTTATAGTCCTTGTATTTAATTATACTTTAAATGTGTTTTCAAAAGATTTAATGATGCCAATTTCCAAACACAGCTGTATGCGACAGGTTAAAAAAATGTATAACTTACGAACAACATTTAAAACTCACGATAAGCAAGGGTAATGTTTTTAAATTGTTAAGGGAAATAAAGCGATTGTTTTATTTTTAATTGTTTGTGATAGTTTGTTCAAAGCATACAAAATAAGAAGGCGGGTTAGAACAAACACAGACCAAGATTAAATTTAATCTTAGGTTTAGTATGTTCTGAAAAGTAGTTTAAATGCATGACAGATGGCTTAGTTCCTGGGACCTACGCACCAATGATTTTTTTTATTTGAAACTCCGAAATATTGTACTACACTTTAGTTTGCTTTTATGACATTTTTAAATTTTTATGCTCTTATATTTTGTATTTTTTCCAATTTTTGAGATTTATCATATTACTTTCGAAATTAATTGATTTGTTGTTTTCATTGCAGTTTTATGTGGTCTTAATTTAATTTATTTAATTATGTGGTAGGTATATACTTCACATCACATTGCCTCGGTAATATTAATTCTTTTAATTTTTATTGTCATACTTTTTGTCATTTTATTTTTTGGTTTATTGTTACTAAATAAGTTTATTTTCATTGTTAGCGAAATATTGTCTTTTTTTATTTCTTTTTGTTTCTTGTGTTTGTGGTGTTCGCCTGTAAGTGTTCGTCACATATGTCTCGTCACATATCTTTTCAATGTTTAATAATGATATGTGAATGAACGCTGGTGAACCTGTTGAATAAATAAATTTGTAATAAATTCTGAAGAGCAGGTATTATTTTATCAATTACTTGTTTTGTTACATATATTAGGACGGCAAGAGACGCAGCCATTAAAACAAAAATGCGCCAAGTGCGAGTCGGACTCGCGCACGAAGGATTCCGTACCATTCATTATCTATAAAAACGACAAAAAATTCGTATCTGTTGTAATGGAGCATCACTTAAATATTTTTTATTGCGTTTTTTAAAATTTATTTGTTGTTATAGCGACAACAGAAAATTTTAACTGTTTAACTAACACGGTTCATGAGATACAGCTTGGTGACGCACAGGCAAACAGACAGACAGACAGCGGGTGTCTTAGTAATAGGTTCCCATTTTACGAGCACTAATCCAACAAACAAGCAGTTACTAAGACGTCATAGCTAGTGTACTTTGTATTGTTTTTAGAAACATAATTACGTGGTTAAGCGTAGCCTATGAATACGGCTGCGCGCACGACCCACATGGATCTAAGTAAAGCTTGCACCGCACTTCATGGGATTAGAACAGCGGTCTGGTTTGTTGCAGACGCGGCTAATGCGGCCATTGATTGCGGTGGACGGCGCAACTTGAGTCCGACACTGTACACCGCGACTCGCTCGATGCTAATTCCTGCGCGCTTAGGCCAGACGCACTTCCAGTTCCGTTTGCATCAGCAGTAAGAAGTACAGGCTAAGTAGTCATCTTCAACCGACTTCAAAAAAGGAGGAGTTTTTTTATTTACCGCAGAACTAGACGTAGTTCTGAGGTATTTATGAATAAATACCTCAGAACCTCAACTCTTAGAATTTCTCCTTGACAATGTTTCCGAGGAGGATTGTCACTTCAGGCAGACGGCCGATCGTAAGCTTTGGTGATGTACCAATGTCATTAATGACACTACTGAAATGTTGCAACCCCCCTCGCCCTGTGGGATAAGGGCAGTTGTAGAGTATTGTAAAAGAGCTCCTTAACAAAAGTACACGTAAGCTGTTATGTCTATAGCTAATGAATATAGCTGATGTTAGAGTCCATTTGGACTGAGCTTATTAAATGTCAAAGAAACATGTTATTAGAATGATGATGTCAAAGAGAATCTTCCACAAAATATTACTATATCGCAAGTAATTTTTGAAGGGATTTACTGCTCTATCAGAATCTCAAAGTTATTATTATTATATACTTTATTGTACACCACAAAGAATTTGATACAATTAGTATAAAATAAGTCTTAAAAGCTAGGTACAATGAGGCGGTCTTTTCGCTAAAAAGCGATCTATTCCAGACAACCTTGGGACGAGGAAAAATGAACTAATGTATAGTGGGTGGTGATGTGTTCAATAAACTTACTTAATACCAAAAATACACGAGAGAAGAATTAAATTCGAATATTGCCAATAAAAACTATGGATTACAAAGCGATAGATAATGTTGTTTTACGTAATTTTTAAACTTGTCTAGCCTCTTCGAACGACGAATTTGCTGAGGAAGTCCATTCCACAAGCAGATGGACTTAACTGTAAAGGAGTTCTTATAAGTATTAGTATAAAGTTATTAGTACTAATTGTTTCTTTAGTCTATTAAACTACATGTTTAAATTTTTAACAATCTTAAAAAATTCCTTTAGTTATGTACTGAATTTATTATAAGCTTCTCATGATTATTTATTGATTATGATTTTTTTTATGATAGAATGTGGCAAGCAAGCTGCTGGTTCACCTGATGTTAAGTGTTAACGTTGCCCATGAACATTTGCAATACCTTCTACATAAGCGCTGTATTTGATAGCTTTGGTATGAGGACTCTACCATCCATGATTGAACGCTAGTTCAGTTAATCCTCCAGCTGTTGTCTTCCCGCGCATGTCGCTTCCAACGAACGGGGGATTATCAGATTGTTTGGATTGTAATCAACGGGTTTTAGTTATTGATATAAGAGTATGCGTATCGACGAGCAAACATAAAGTTGTAGATATGAATAAGATCTTATAATTCACAATAATTATAATTTGATTTACATTTCTATTATTTTATTTACGTAAATATAAAATTATACTTATTATTAAAAATTATAAAATTATATTATAAAATAACAATTATTATAAAATTATAACTTAGTCTACAGAATTTCTTCTGTAGACTAAGTTATAACTTTGATATAACTGCCGAAACCTGCAGGCCCGTTTAATTTCTTTTTATTTATTTAATTTATTTAAACTTTATTGCAATTACCTTAATCAAGGATTACAAAGGGCGAACTTAACGCCTTTAGGCATTCTCTCCCAGTCAACCCGGGGCGTGGAGATAAATTGTGGAAGGTGCAATAAAAAAAAAAACAAGTTCATTACTAATGTGAATGAAATATAATAATAATAAATTATTTATTATGTGGAGGAATTTTTGAAGTTATATTTCTTTTGACGATTTTGGAAAAATTATCAGAGTGAAATTTTTACGACGCACACACGCACCGACCCCCAAAAAGCAACAAGATGCTTGGTAACCAATTTAATCTTGGCAACCAATAACAATTTTAACCGACTTCAAAAAAGAAGGAGGTTTCTCAATTCGACCGTATATATATTTTTTTATGTGTGTTCGCGGATAACTTTGTCATTAATGTACCGATTTTGATGATTATTTTTTGTTGAAAAGCAGATATAGGGTGGTACCATGATAAGGAAACCCGGATCTGATAATGGAATCCCAGAGAAATCGAGGGCAATCCTCAAATGTCATAGGTATTTACAATATTTTTATTAGTATCCTGTTTGAAGTCGGTTTTTTTTTTTGTTTAAAATTATTGACATTTATCGATAATTCCAAGTCTTTACGCTAAATAAGTATAACACACATACATTTATAATTTTATGATTTTTTTTTATTCGGAATTTTTTTTTCCGAATGTGAATATACTATTAATAAACACCATCACGCTTTATGTGTTTGCCCGTAAATATCAATCAGTGAATGCAAGGAAATAAAATAATTTAATACAGAGAGCGTTAAACTGATGGAAGTACGAAACTAGGTACCAACGAAAACCGTGTTAGCTGTGGACGCGTTCGTGAATAACGCATCCGAAAGAGTGGGAACGCTTCACTCGGATTAATGAAACGCGCGAGCTTTAAGCATATGAAAATCGCACGCCGCCGCTGCTAATAAATTACGTAACGATATCAGAATAACCGTTTTTAATATTTGTAATTAAATGTTTTCCTCTCGCTCATTTGCTAATGAAACGTGCTCGCGTTTGGGGAGCGCAGGGATGCTGCGGCGGCCTGGCTCAATAGGGTTGTCGCGTTTATATCGCCCGCGTCGGATAGCGTATTTTTTTCGAAATCATATTAAACCTCATTGAATGTGAGACCTTTTTTTTAACCGGTTGAGCACGCTTCTTCCGGTATGTCGACTTTTAAACAGCTTAAAATATATGTATGTGCGGTTACTACATGTCAAAGTTACCGCCAATATAATCGTCAATGGCTTAAAAAAAATATTTTATTGAGTGGCTATGGATAAAAAATATTATTTTATAGAGTGGCGTACACAGATAAACGGGGTGGTTAAGTTAGAGACGATAATTATCACCAGTAAAATTCATTCAAAACCTATTTGATTGCAATTTTTATTTACATATGTCGTGAGTAGCAGAGCAAGTTTAACTAACATTAACTTTTTATTTAACTAACATGGCCTCCCATGGAAAGGCCAATCACCAACATTATGCCCCTGTTATGCTAACATTTCACGTAAAACAAGATGAATTTCGCCTTAATAAGTAATTCATTATTGTTAATTTCTTTTGTCATTTTAATATTGTTGTTTCTATTTTGATTAAACGCTTATTATTCATGTGTTTACATAAGCTAAAACAATATAAGAACTCAAATCAAATCATTTATTCATCGAAATAAGAAGTATACATTTCATTTATCGACAGTCATTTTTTAAATCTACCACCGTTTCGTAATGAGGTTCCTCTAACGGAGCAGAAAGAGGGGAGAGAAACACCGTAGGTTCTGAAATTGTTCAAAACTGTAATAAAAATAAATAACATGTAAAATAAATAACTGATTCTGAAATTGTACAAAATTAATCATATTTTAATCTTTAAGCATTTACATTTGGGTAAGAGACAATTAAAAGGGATAACATATATATGACATGTGATAAACTTAGTTTGATAATTAGGTTCGTTCCTGGAACTCAATGGCCTCTTAAGGCTATTTGCATTAATAACGAACGGACCCCTTACTACGATACCTCAGTGTAGAGTTACTACAATCTTTACAGCCCTTGTGTATTTTGGCCATTGGAAATTACACCCAAGATTTTCCGCTTAAGGTTTTCTTTAGCACGTGTAATCTTTATTTTTATTTATATTTTAAAAAAAGATTTTTCGCAATACTTGACGCAGTCTAGTATGTAAACTTTACAGTATTATACTACATAATAATTTCTTGTTTTTACGCGAATATGTGCCGTGATAGCTTTAATTGTGATCACCTTTGATGCAATATACTCGAGCAACCTGAGTTCGATAAGAGGTAAATATGACATTAGGGCACCGAAATTGAGGCACTCAAATTACACCAATTGGTGTAATTGGATCACAATTTTATAGACTGCTATCTCTTTCCGTATCATCCGTTCTATATTATCTGTCACATTCACTTACATATATGTCATATAATGTGAAGTTGAACTATTTTTAAACGGCGCGCATTATGCACATTCGTCATCTTTAAAACGTCATTGACTTAAATGAAGACACTGTTTTAATAAATATAATAAATGAGCAAGCTACTGACTTCAGTAGCTTCCACACTGCCATGCCACTTGGCGACAGATTAACTAGTTCATTTTTATGGATGCGCAAATACTGAAGCCTCGGACTACAGACTATAACTACAGAGTAGCCAGCCTCTCGGTCTTCTACAGGATGCATTTTGGAGAGTGTGCGTTGGAGTTGCATGATTTGATTCCTCCTGCCCCTTTCCACCATCGGACAACTAGGCGTTCGGCGAGACTCCACCCTTATGCTGTCGACGTTCCCAGAACAAGAACCAAGCGATTTGCTTCATCATTTATCATCCGTACACCTAAGGAATGGAACAACCTGCCGGCGTCCGTCTTTCCGTCCGATTACAACGTAGGCGTCTTCAAAGCAAGAGTGAATAGGTTTTTACTGAGCTACCGCGCTTACCATCAAAGGCTGCATCGCCAGTTAACATCAGGTGGGATGGCAGCCAAGTGCTGGCCAGATGCAGATAAAAAAAAACCTATCTGTAAGTCACTAAGCAGTTGGTGACCCTGTTAGCCGCCCACTGCGCCAACGCAGATAATTCGATATGCCGACAGTAAATTTGTTAAGTACACTCGCACTTTCTGATGAGCATGATGTATGTCCTCCATTCGGATAAACGGCTTTGCCCAAAGAAATCGTTATGTTTAAACGATTTCAAAGCGATACATAAGTACATAAGTCATACTTAGTTTTTATAAAGTTATATAATGCTTCAACTGTTGGAAGCTTTTGGCACAGATACACAATATTTTTATTCAGACCAACTACTAACTGTTTAGAAAACAATTTTTGTATTTCTCTTTGCAGTTGCTGTTGATTCGGTTTAATAAAATACATTCGAATAGAACCTCCTTATTTTTTGAAGTCGGTTAAAAATAAAGATAAGAATCGTTCACTAAATTTGCCTCTTTAATATGAATGCTACAAGCAAGAATTTTCAAAACATGACTATGCGTGTAGCACGATACAATATTGTATATTTAATTATTAATTTTTAATGCTAGGCTCCGTCCTTAAGCTGTTACGTCGTTGCCAGATATAAGGGTAGCTAGCTAAACAATTAGCTAATATACCACCTAGTGGTTATTGCATACAATATAACTATGAAAGCGTCGGTCCGTAAACTTGAAATGTCGTACAAAGCTCCTGTTATGTTGGTGGGCACAATTTCTCATTTTTTTATTTGCCGATTATTTTAACCTTTCAAGCTTTTATTAGTCAGCGTCAACTACCTGATAAAAGCTTGAATGTTTAGAAATAAATTCTTATTATAATGTCTTGTACGGGCGCGATTAGGTACATATTAGTAAATGAAACTATTTTTACGTAATTATCGCGATTATTTTAATTTTATTTCCCAACGTTTCGGACCCTTTTCAGCGTTCATGGTCACAGGACAGACTGAGGCGTTAGACGTTTGAACGTCATAGTTAGCTCTGGCTACAGTCAGTTTTAAAATTATTATTTAAAATTAATATAGATTAAGAATTATATAGATTATTTAAAAAATTATTTAAAATTATTAAATATTTTTAAGTCAGCCCACATTTTTTTTACTGTAGTAGTGCCACACAAGAGTTCGCTGTTGCATGAATGCACATTTTCGTCTTGGTAAATGCCACGAACACACAGAAGACCGGCGTGAAGTGTTATACTTCTGCGTTTCGTCTGGTGAGTGAGGTAGACGGGGCCCACTTTATTAAAAGGTGCCAACGCATCTGCAAACCCGTAGGGTTGCAGTGTTTTAAACATCAATTCAGGAGCATGCCTCCTTCTCACGTAAAAGAAAATCTGCATCTGATCAATTCGATACGTCTCAGTCCTTGAGGACAACTTAAATAGCTCCAACCACTACATCAGTTTTGATAGATCACAGCTCCTTGCAAAAGAACACCGATTCCTCACAAACATGTTTCTCGAGGCTATTGTAATCAAATAACACGTTAATTTCAACGGAGAAGAGAAAAATACCGCAAGAAGATACAATTAGCATCATCATCTCGGTATCCCGTGACCATGTTCAAAGGGTTTCGAAGTGTCGGAAGCGAAAATAAGAATAAACGATTGGTTCGTTTATTTTTATTTTAGCTTCCGACGTTCCGTAAAAATAGTTTCATTTACTGGTATTATAGACGTGAATTTATTTCGACATTGCGGGAATCGTGGTCACCCTACGCCTCGATAGGTGTGCCGCGCCGGCGCATGTGACGACAGCGAAATGCGTCCGCCGAGCGATTTACGCCGCCGCCCGATATCGCCTGCACACTCGGCGTCTGTTCCAGCTTCCGCTTCCTCTCATCGCCGAGCTCAGTGTCCCGCGACCGTCCATCATTCACCATCTATTTATACGCGCACCGCAATGAGCCTCGAAGATTTGAAATCACTCACCGAATGCCTTATCTTTGGTTTCCTGCAATAAAACGAATTACATCTTTAAAATGTATAGTATAAATGTAATTAATGATGGCATAGAATTTTGGATGTCCGACTTTAAATCCTTAAGTCAGACGTTTGAATCTCATTTTTCTACGTATTCATTTAACGGATTGATTTTGTGCAAAATTCTTCATCATATATTTATGCCCAAAGTAAAGCCTCACGACCAATTTTTACATTTGGGACTTTCGAAACTTGCCCTGAGACGTTTTTTTAGAATAGTAGTATCTCTATATGGTCCCAAGCTATGAAATCATCAGCATCATCGTCCAATAACTACGATAGTAGGGCCACACAGCAGCCTCAGCTGTCGCACGAACGGGCAGGCCCGTCCGGGTAAGTACCACGAAGACTAGCGTAAAGTATGAAGTATGACAAATACTTTCGCGTTTCGTATGGTAAGTGAGGTAGCCGGAGCCCAATTTTCAAAAGGTTGTCAACGCCTCTGTAACCCTCGAGTGTAGCAGATGTCCATGGGCGGCGGTATTCACTTACCGTCCGGTGAACCGCCTGCTCGTTTGGCACCTTATCACAAAAAAAAATAACGACACTGAAGTTCAAAATAAGTATGCAGCACTATAAGTATATAATTAAAATTCTGACTCTTATACTTTATGGCGACGCCATAATATCTTCCTTTCTTCTTTCTCAAAATAAATGATTTTTGAGCTTTATTTTTCCACCTTTGACATAAAAAAATATAGTGAAGTTAAAAGGAAACAATGTCTTTTTAAAAAAGATTGAATTATAACGCCATTTATTGACAATTTGTTCAGATGAAAGATATTAGGAAGTATTTTTAAATCTTTATTTACACATTTTATTTTCATTCGGTAACTGATCACAGCAATGGGCGAAAAATTCGGCTCAACTAGATATTACATAGTTGGAGTTCAGGGACTACTATTCTACTATTTCAACTTTAACACCGGTGGCTCAAGGTAGTTGTTAATGACCCTAAAACAAGGACACAATAGGCTTTGGAGCGAAATGATTTGCCGGCGCCCGATACAATCGATGAAAGAAAATTGCTTCCGTAATTGCTTCAGTGCATTCGACTGATGGGACAACTCCGTGACTCGGTTCATTATTTCCACTGGCGCTCATGCATTTTTCAACAATGCACGCAGGCCCCGGCCTCCTCTTTCATGATTAATTAATACACCGCTCCCTCAAATAACTGCTTTTAAAAGATATGGAGTCGTTTTTACGCGGCAAATTGGGGAGCACCACCGAGACCCGCGCTACCGCCTCCACTATTCAATGAAGGTTGATATTTTGTTTTTCGATAGCGCTTATTGTAAACAATCCTATTGAAGCAAGCAATAATTTAAAAAAAAATTATTGCTTCGTACAATTTGTTCAAGCATAATAGTATTTATGTTACATTGCAAAAGCTTTAATGCTTTCTGTTTTACGCTTCATTGGATATAGGATTGCAAAGCTGTTGACAAAACAAATGTTAAGGTATCTCGAAAAAAAAATTCAATGGTGGAGGAATTTGGGATATTATATTATATTATATTACTTTTTATTATTTTACTAAAGAACAGAACAGAAAGCAAAACAAACAGTCCTGTGTTCATTTGATCTATCTAAGTTTCATTGAAATTATATCAAAAGTATAACAGTCGATATTAAGTCTGCCACTTGATGAATTTAAACGAAAAATTAAAAGTAAACTTATGGCTAAAGCCTATTATACTATTGCCGAATATCTTGACGACGCCAATGTGTGGGGTTAATACTGTTGATGCTCACGTAGGCTAAAACAAGACTGTTGTACCTGTACTATTATATTGTAAACTGATTTTTTTAAAAAGAGGAACTGTTGAGTTTCTTGCCGGTTTCTTCTCAACAGAAACTGCTTTCCGAACCGGTGGTAACTTATTATGATATGATATTTTATTATTATTATTATAAACGCAGTATTTCGTACTGCATATTATATTTCTTGGACAACTTAATCCACAAGCAACTGATTAAATAAATTAGATTTCCGAACACAATTCGCACATTATTGTAAAAAGAGCTTTTGATTGATAATAATTAAAAATACTGAAAGGAATTTATGTTACTGAGTTCTTTCTGATGATTCATCGTCACATTAAGTAAACATTCAACAGATCAAATTCTAAATATGTAGACTCATAGCTATAGCTGAAATTGAATTTGCACTTTATCTTGTGTAATGTGTAAGCGTGTAAGCGTTTCTTTAATTAACAGAAGGTTGGTTGGATATTATTTTATATTAAGTTCATTAAGTGATGGTACATATGAAAGATTTAATTTGTTAGAAAGAAAAGAGTAAAAACAGAAATTGCTTTTCCGTTTAATCCCAATCGTTTATAAAATGTCTAATAAATAACTAGTGGCATTAATGTTGTAATTTTCTAAGACAAAAAACAATAACATAATTTAGAACCATATGTATCCGGTGATTGATTTTTGATATGCGCGTTCGGTATTTATACGAGGTTACAATAATAAACAATAAGTAAATCTAAGGCTATGTAACATTGTTTGTACAAAAAAAAACCTTTTTTAGAATATAATGTTTTTCAAGCGAGACTTAAACTAGAGAGCGAGTGTTAAACTAGATTATCTCATTTACAGTTTGTTGATAGCTCTGTATCAATGGAATAATCCGAAACTTAATAAGAGAGGCGTTCCAAGCATTGTAGCAATGTAATCAACAAACAGCAATAATGTTACGATAGCCATCATTTGTTTCAAAACAGCGATCCGTTGTAATGTTTTGTTAGACGCCATGGCGGGCAGGCGCGGATATAATAAAAGGCGTATCAAACTTTTCCCATTCGTTTTTAAGTTGGTTCGGAGAATAGAGAAAACGCACAACGCCATTCGCCCGCCGAGGATGCCACAATAAAAGCTAGAGAGTGCGGCACCGCTAATGTCTAATACAATTGGAGCGAGTACTGCTCATCTAGCGGAGGGCGCATTCTACGCCGAACCACCGCCGCCGTAGGGATGCGACACGCGCCCACGCACGGCAAGAATATCGATATAACGACTGTTATTGTTCTACACGAAAAACACCAAGTGAATTGTTTACAAGTCAATTCTTTTATTAACAAAAAATAAAACTGACCTCAAATATCTCGCTCTGTATTCATTTTATAATTGATGATCAGGAGTTCAATACGAATCTCCGGAGCTCAAGATCCAATACCAATGAAATTAATTTGAGATCACATCAGCTTTCAAATAAAAAAAGAATCATCAAAATCAGTTCACTGAGGGTAAAGTTCTTAGATAACAAAATTAAAAAAGTAATAATAATAAGTAGTAATAAAAATACAGTCGAATTGAGGACCTCCTCCTTTATTGAATAATAAATATATATTGATAATAACTCAGCCCTTTTTCCTTGTGCTCAGGGGAAATATTTGGAGGAATATACACCATGGACTGGATTGCTTGTTAGTATCAGTATTGAAGAGTTCGTTCTACAGTTACTTTAACTAACGTTTTAATAATAAAATTGTATCCCTTAAGTACGTATAAGATTAGATATATTAATAAGCTGTTATTGGAAAACATACATAATTTAACCCTTGTATAATAGAAAAAAAAAGCTAAGTTACTATAGCAATTAAAAACTCAATCAAATACAATACACACGTGAAATACTCAAGAAATTCATAGAAAGTATCTCGATATCGAGATTGCTTATAACATGTGCCGCACAGCACTCCGTCGCCCCTTCAGTGCTTGTCATTAAGGGTGATCCATCAAAACGTCCGACGGATTTAGGGGTGTTCGACGCCTGCGCGGTGGCCTCGGGCGAGAGGGGTGAGTAGGGCCACGGGAGGAGTAACAAACAAAATTAGATATTCGTGCGGTGTCCCCGCAAAGCGGCGAGAGTGCGGCCCGATTGATTTCTCTCGCAAAGATTTACATTTTTACACGCTGCACGCAAGAACTCATTAGGAAGCCTTCATACTGTATTTCATCGGCTAACTTCTATGAGTTCAATAACCTCGAACAATCGATACCGACCAAGAAACCGTCAAGTGTTTCCCCTGATATAAAGTTATTGCAGACCGACTCGAGTGCTTTCAAGAAAATAAATTATCGAACGATAGCAGGTGGTAGAAAACAACGTAGAAACTTGACTGCCTACGTGGGCACTTGCAATTTAATGAATTAAAATACTCCCCACCTTTATTGGCGTGTGGAACGCAACTTTGAACCCTATCGCGAACGAAGTGGCATTAAAATCGGTCGCCCGATCGCGCCAGTCGATATGACTAGCCAAGTTAAAGATTTCCCTACAAAGCAACCACTCCAACTTAAAACAAACACGACCCCAAAGAGAAGAAAAGCAACACTACTCGAGATAGAAGAGCAATCGAAAGCGAGTCTTAGAACATTACAAAACTTGGCGCAGGTTCATTTGAAAACGAAACAAAGCCGAGCGCCGCTTGCAAACAAACTACTTAAGCTCGGAAATATTGAACTGCGAACTGGCGTTTTCAATTTCCAATAACAATGATACCGGTATGACTTTAAAGACGTCTTGTCGTTGCGAAAGAATTCATCGTTAGCGCCTTATTAAATTTGAGGCGAAGTTCGGCGGCACATTACAGACGTAAGACCGTATTTACATCTATATATCTTTTGTACGTATTAAGACCGAGGCACTCCAATCGCTAGCGGCGTTGAATCATTTCCTCTGTCGCCTAATGAAGGCTTCGATACCTCCTCAAGAAAGAAAGACCGTGTTTTCTGTGTCAGTGTCTGGATTACTCCCTGCTACAGAAATGTAACAACGTAAAAATATAGTGAAAATATTTTAACTATTCATTATTCACTTCCCTATTGTCATTGTTAATTAACTGTGGGTCTTGTGTGGAGCTATATTTACATGAAAGTCAAAATTAAAATATTATAGTGCTAATTTCGGCATTTAAGATGAAACATTTTTTGTAGAAAATTTGCACGACAAGTTTTTCGAACGCACGTTTTCACTATACTCCATAATTATAGACATTGTCTCGAGATATAAATTATAACAGAATCAAAAGTTTGCACCGAAAAGTAAATATTTATGGTGCGGAGTACGCGCGTGCGAGGGTGGAGCTCCTTGAACGGTTATGTAGAGACGAGGCCGCCTGTCGCCGGCAAATAAATTCCGCCGTGAATAATAAACGTGCATCGATCAGGTATCCACTCTAATACGTCCATTTGTAACCGACAAGTGCGTTGGACGTACAATTTTTATTAATCAAAATGCTTTTAGTTGTGTTATCCTACGTTTCTTTCCATTTTAAGACTTTATGATTTGTAACTTTTAGTGTAGTTAGTATTAAAAAAGGTTATTACAGCTGGGAATAGAAAATTGAGTACCACGAAATGTAGAAATAGCTTTTGCTATGCTTTCTAAGTCTCGAGCTATCTCTCCTCCACCATTTTTTTATTAAACTTCATTGAAATAAAGTTTTTGTCACTCTTAATATATATTGAATTATCATGCAATATGCTCTTTTCAAATTAGGTAAAGATGACGGACCGAGTCGTGGGAGGTTGATAGCTAGCAATAAAATCAGTATGTCTGCTCGATGTGGCTCCGAGAAGACATAAGTTTGGGCGTACGTATCGGAATTTATGGTTATTTAAAACGATTTCCTTATACGCAAAGGTTTCCTCAATATGATCACGTCGTCGGGTGTATAAATGGGAAATATAGCGATATTCTGAATTATAAGTCTATCCGGATTTTTATGAGGCAGTTTAATTCTCAAAATATTCTAAAATGCTTAACAAATATTATATTAAACAGTACAGTTACGACAATGACACAAAATTTGCTTTCCAACAGAGGAACTTAATATACTCAAAGTTATTTGTGCAAGATTTGCGCCCACAAATTTAGACGTCCTCTATACGACACTACGAAAACATGTCTGTTTGTTCATTTCTCAAGACGAATATATTGGACAAACAGAAGTGAAGGATGTGTCCCAGCGCCGACTGAGCCTTTACATCCGGCATCGATCGCTCGTCCGGTTGTTCGCGTGCTGGCGGCGGTCCAATGCCCCTTGCAGCCTTTGCAGGCTTTCACGTATTGTGGCTACGCCGCTACGCTACGCTCCACGGAGACATTGTGCTACGTCGTAGCTCTACGAAATATTGCGAAGAAAGAAGGAGATATTTGTTCGCATTGTGAACGCGGGCTATGTGTAATTGAAAGTGTTACTGTTACTTCTGCCCATTGGTGTTCTTTGATCTCTATTTTGTGTTGGATATTTCAAGAAGAAACAATGAACTATCGTCAAATACTGATGAAGTTTATTGATTTTAAATATTTGAGGTTAGATTTTTAATTACTTTTATCATAGAGGATGTCATGCGTGTGTTATAAATTTGGTAAGAAAATTGAAAGCTAGTTATCTATAATTGTGTTGCTGTTCATTAAAGAATAAAACATAATTAAAAACCGGTCACGTGAAAGTCGAACTCGTACGCCGAAGGTTCCGTAGCTAGCCATTATACTGCCATAATAAAATTGGTAAAGAATCGTCACCGATTTTCTCAGGAACGAGTGAGTGGATCTAGCCAGTTGACCCATAACATGAAGGTACTTACGGTTGACCTAGAATTATCCATTTTAGTTAAAAGCAAAGTATTACAGTATAAGGAAAAATTCCGAAAAATAAAGAAAGTTGAAACGTAAGGATAGACTCTGTGGCGCAGTGGCCAATGTATTGCCTTCGGTGTCGGGGGTTGTGGGTTCGATTCCCACACGGGTCAACTATTTGTGCGTCCACGTGAAATTTATATTTTTAAAACGTTCTTACAAAACAGGATAATCATATCATAAAGTAAGGGCAATGTTTAAAAAAAAAGGTAAATTTTCAGTTAGACGAGGACTTTGCCCAGCAGTTGGACATGTATAGGCTGTTACTTTACTGTACTTTTACAAAGACATTGCCAATTAAAACCACAAAATCTCCGGAGCTTTGTATATTAATCATACGTACGAGTTACTTCAATATAAGTGCGCTGCTCTCTCACCGCTCTTGAAAATAAACGGTTCTTCGTCGCATTAAGAGATGGAACTAACGAACCTCCAGCACCTCTCGCCAAGAGGCCTCTTAATCCTCCAGAGCGGTAGAGCGTCAAAAAGCCCATTTCCCTAAAATCCTAACCCGCCGAAGTGACAAGCAATGCGAAATTACCGAAAGCCAGAATCCTTACAGCGGCTCGCGCGACCGTAAAATACATTTTTCTTTTTAAGCCTCTGCTACAGTCTTCTACGCGGATGCACCGTGTATCTGCTAATCCTTCCCGCAGTTTTAAACTCTAATGCTCTGAAAGTAAGTCTCGAATTAGCGTGCGACGGGATGGACTGGCGGCGCAGTATATTCGACACGGGTATAATATCGCTAGTCCCGCGTTAGCTGCCGTCGTCAAAAAGGCGGACTGAGCTCTTTATGTAAATGCTCATCCGGGAGACATTTCCATTATACCCTTGAAGGCGATCCCAGTAACTTGGACATCGCACGGTTAGTCTGCCCTCTTTGTGGTCGAATTGGATCAACATTACGTTGTAATCAATCTTAGATCTTTGTACGAATATTACCCAAGTTAATACGAAAACATGATTTTGATTATAAAAAGGTGTTCCTCTATCTTGAAAAAAAATTTTATATGTATCATCTTTTAAAGGTCTTCGGTTGCTTATTTGCGTATTGCATGTTTATTTTCTGTATGCATGGAGGTGAACGCCAATCTTACAAGGTATCCGCAGAAAACCAGTGCCGTGGTATTGTCTGCCGCGGCTATATACTGAGCGGAGACCAATTTGATGCATACATTCCTACAATGTTATTTCTTGTTCTTTATTTTTCTCCTGTAATGTAATGCGCTGAATAAATATTTCTTTCTTTCTTTCTTTCTATTTGATTCCTATAGGTTAAACGTCTGTTTCTATTTTATTAAAACATCAAGTAACAACTTGATAAGTTGCACAGGCATTAACAAACCCAAAATTAAAAATAGGCCAATATGCAAAAACAGCAAATGATAGTTATAATCTTAACAAATTATGTCTTAATATATCGAGGTCCCAACTTCGATGTGCACAGACAGTTAATTTTTCACGATAAGTTCAATTCCACACTACGTTGTAACATTTCAACGTCGAACGATCAACTGCCCTGTTCCTGCCGTGCGTGTTGAAATTAACAAAAAATGTAAATAACAATTCCACGGGCGCCTCAAATTTGCAACCAGATGCTCGCCCAGTGTGAAATTACAAGCGCTTGGATAGCACTGGCTGAAAAACCCAACAGGACGTAGAGACGAACGTTTCATTCTAGCGCTCCGCTCTATCGACTACGCCGCTACGAGCGCGTAGCAAACTCCACCGTACTGACTTGTCAAAGGCTTTTGAACCGTTGCTTCTGCCATTACCGGTAATCCTCTCTTGAAGGTTTCCAATTTAGAAAGAAGGAAACAAATTTACTTTGCTCTACAGCGAGGAAGGTTAGACTTATGTATATATAGTTGTTTATATGTTTAGTTCGTATGTTTGTTGAAAAGCAACTTTTAATCATAGTTTAATGCTTGGAATTTTAACTACAATGCAGTGATTCCGGTAATTCACCAAAGTGTTTACGTCGGAGCTAAGTTAAGAATTCATAAAACTAAAAATTTAATAATTTGTCTACAGCGGACACAAATCGCCGCTGAGGGATAACAATTAATGTAAGCATTTTTTTTAGATACATGGATATTGAATGAATGCTCCTAAATAATAAAGCTTCCTAGCTTAGTAACAAATTGGGCTTGAATTGCTAAAAATTGTAAAGAAAAAAGTCAGTGTTTTCCATCTTCTCGTCGATTCTTATTTTGATTGCAAATATTAGAATAGTAAGCTTCTCAGTAAATTTTATGTGTATGTTTTTAAATGACGCTTATATTGGTTATCCTTTAGGAACTGTAGTGAGATTGGTTGGTTCTAGAATTTACAACCGTTGAGAAAAACTGATGCTCTACGAGATTCTAGAAGACAGGCGATTCAGGACGGTGCTACTATGGTCTTTACTGTTGCATGAATGGTCAGGGTTATTCGGGGTAGTACCATATCCTCACAGTACATTGGCGGGAAGGGGAACCGGAATCCACTTTATTAGTAGGTGGCAACGCATCTGCAACCCTGCCGGCGTTACAGGTGTCCATCTGCAGCGGTTATCACTTAGTATGAGATAAAACGCTAGCTAACTTGCCACCTCTTGACATAAAAAAACAAATCTTACTACAGTAAAAATAATAAAGGTGAAAATTATTACTAAATCTTTATACGTTACAAAAAAATGATAGTTTCCATTATATAAGAAAGAAAAAATGTGACAATTTTAAATAATATGAACTGCAATGTTAAACATTTTGATTAATTATATTGCTACGTGTATATTTAATATAAAATTTAAAAATACGAAATTTCGTAATATACAAAACTGCAAGAAATATATAATTTTATGTCAAATATATGGTTTACATGAACAATCTTATAAAAAATTTAATCCTACAAAAAAAAAATATCTATTCCACCAATGTATTTTATTAATTATAAACATAAAATTGACATAGCTCAAGTGTTTAGAGTGGATCTGCGGAAAAAAGGAGAACTTTGTTTTGAGAAAACGACAACTTTTATAAAGTGCCGCCTCGTTATTTACTTAGAAAGTAGTTAAAGTCGGATCAATGGATTTATCCGAACAACGTGATATCGTATACGTAAGGCCACCTGATGTAAGTAAGATGGATTTTAGCTTTAGTTAGTCTTTTTAAACTTGAAACTTCATTGACTTGAATCCAGGTAAACCGTACCAAAAATAACACATTGAAATATCAATGTCATACCATTACAGTACCTTTTTGTGTAACTAACAATTATTAATTGAACTAATGAATTTTGAACTGTTAGTTTCGTTCATGTACAGAACACATTTAAATATAATAATTATAAATGAAGCGACAAAACACAGGTACGAGTAACATCTTCTCGGCAAATTAAACTTTCCAACGTTGCCTAATTGCTGTATAGTGCGTCCTATACACTTGAAAGATTGTGAACAAAAGCGATCCTTATTATCTACACTATTAACGCCACAATTGAATACAGAGGTGCAGGTAAAAACGCATGGGTAGTAAATCACCAGACGGGCATAATTTTCCGCTGCAGCAGGGCGGTAAATCTAGGAGCCTGCCCACCCCATGAGGCATGGGTTTGAATTAACCATTAATTGTACCACTTGCATTCGTGAAAAGTATTTGCCGTTATAATAAATTCGGTTTATATCTTCTTTTTGTACGGTCGTAATGCCGCACGGTTTAGCTGTTAATAAAAACTTAAAAAGATTTACTGATTAATGTAAATTTTCTCCTTAAATTCATTTAACAATATAAATATTCGACGGAAGGAATTTCCTGCCCGCATACATTTGTTTATATTATATTTATAACTTATCTATGCAGTTATATAGCATTAAATCCTATAGCATAACTAGCCACCCTCCCCAGTCTCGCACAGATTTGTGATAAATGTCATTTTTAATGTATTTTTTACCATAGTGTGTGCAATAAAGATTATTTATTCATTCATTCATTTGATCTATCAGTCTATATTATCTAATATTTTGTCAGAGTTTGCAAAGTAAGCGCAAAAAATATGTCTGATACGACGTCACTTTACAAATCTTTGAATTTTTTAGCTTTTTTCTACTATAATATCATTCATACAGTTATACAGCATATAAACCTTCCACTTGCATCACACAATCTATTGCTGAAAATGCATTAAAATCCGTTGCGTAGTTTAAAAGATCAAAGCGTACAAACCGCGCTTCCCCCCTTGTTTTATACCATGTAAAGAAAATAACTAGAATAAATATAATAACGTTTTTATATACGCCTATTACTCACAAAAATGGGTGATTCCATTTGTTTTACAATGAAGTTTTTGTCCATTCCCTACTGTGTTGTGCTTAATCACTGAGCTCAAAAGTAACGGATACGTAAGACTTCAGGTGATAACCACAATTTTTCTAGTGGCTTTAAATGTAGGACCATGCAGCAGGTTTTGCTTTTCCATCAATTCGTAGGCTCGTATGTACAAGTTTGATTGCTTAGGACAATGGATACCGGAATTTAAACTGAGATTGCTCAAGGACTCACTCCAAAGGGCCCTGGACTTTGCAGTACAAAGGTACTTAGCTGCAATTTTTATGCAATTTATCCCCAGCGGTATAAGAAGATGACGCTTGATGAAAATATGTTTGAAAAAAGCGCATAGTTAAAAACACGCTAAAATGAAGACTATTTCTCTTGAACAGCTCTGCGAAAGACGCATCATTTTCTTTTACTAACGTCCCATAGGATCCCGTTCAAGAGGGCCATTAACATAACCTACCCCATCCACGTCGCTCCGGTAATCTTTACAACACCTAATGGATAAGTGTCGAGCGCCTGAAGTGTTTGCTGATGGGCGGGAAGCCATGTTACTCACTATTCTCATTGGGTTTGTGATAAGAGAACACTAGGATCACGGTAAGTAGTAACATTTCTCGACGTCACAGACACATTGCTTTTTAATGTTCCCAATCCGAAACGTAAAACTGGACTCTATTACTAAGACTCTGCTCTCTGTATGTCTATGTGTCTGTCCGTCCGTCAGGCTGTATCTCATAAACCATGATAGTTACGCTGTTCTGTTGTCGCCTTTAACGTTTTTTCACGAGCCAAGCGTATTTGTTGTAACTGTTGCATTATTATATTAGGCTGTCCATAAGAACTTGAAACAAATCGAGTTTCGATCTTGATTTTGATAAACCATCTCATTGGACTATTTATTGCCTTTCATTTAAGGGTAAGTCTTTACACTACTATGTAATAATTATAATGTAAACGTGATTAATAAATTTAGGCAACATATAATAATCACTCTTGAAGCAAGACACTATGACAAAATTAATGGTATAGAAACTCAATGTCATCGAAACGTAATTAAGTTGCTATTAATTCTCAATTAATTTCGCGATGATGTAACCGTAGGATATGAACACAATATTAACATCTAAAAGGCTATTGTCGCAATTAAAAAATATGAGGAACGACTTTGTTTCTTT